TCCGTGCAAAAACGGGAATATTCCTCAAAGCACCACAGCAAACTTCCCTTCTCACCCCCGTTTCCTTGCACAGCAAGATCTTACTTGCAGCCATATATCGTGGGGGGCTTTTGACCTGCTGAGAAGAGGTTTTGTGGCTTCGGGAGAGCCGAAGCATGAATCAGAGATATTCTAATTGTGCGTTTTGTCATCTGCCCATGTTTTCCATCCTGTTTTTAAGTGCAACATCAAGCAGTGGGACTGTGCAGCATTTTGTTTTGGAAAAAAGCGTCTTTCTTTTTCTGTTTTAATGCACTGCTTTGAACTTTACTGACATAAAGCACTGTCAAATCATAAATAATCTAAAACCTCAAGTTATTTTCTTTACCTCCACACTCTGCAGGGAGCGAAAGCAGCAGTGCTGCTAACACCATGAGGATTTACAGTATTTGCTCTTTGCATTTATTCCCGTACCCATATTCCTTCTGCCTGAGCCGTGCAAGACTCTTTTCCCGTTAAGTTCTGGTTTTGATTCTCTGTCTTGCTTCCTATCTTGTTTTTTTATCTTAAATTGTTTGAATTTCCTTTTGGATGTGTCTGCTGCGAGGCAGTGCTGCAGCGGAGGAAACGGCGACTCGGAGGAACGAGTAAACAAGAGACAGAGTTTCAGCCCGTCCATCTGATCGATAAAGGTGGCTTTGATGGAAGAGATAGCCCTGACGCCAGCCTAAATGTAGCTGTTAGAAGTTGTAGCTGCCTACAATGATAGTTGTTAAAAATGCGGCGTATACCATCGAGGGAGGCACTGCAAGACTAAAATATTTTTCTTTCTTCAAAAAGAAAGCTAACAAGCCTGCCTCTGTTTCAGCAGAAAGGGAAAAAAAGGGGAAAAAAAAAGTGGATTTTCTTGTCTGTGCATAAAGGGCAGTGTGGAAAAAGAGGAGGGAAAAATGGAATATTTATTTAAAAGGCAGAGGACATGCTTTTCTGCCGGCTGCCCCTGCTGTCTGCTGAGTGGTAGTGGCTAATAGCTGGAGGCGAAACTAATACTTGGCAGGGGATAAGACACAGCGCAGGCCCCCTTGTATTAGGGGCTTGCTAAAGTGCTTGCTTTATGTCAGGGCTGCGAGATGAGTTCATCTTTTCAGGATTTGGTTGAGTGCGCTGGGAGATAAAAGAAGGCAAAGGAACCCGCCGCGACACAGGGAGTGGGGCAGCCGGCAAGGGTGGCGATGGATGGGGCTGGGGGAGAAGAGGGACCCTGCCGAAAGCTTTCCGGAGGCAGAGGCTTTTCAGATGAGCCTTTTAACCGTCTCCTTTCGGGGTGTTTTATTTGCCTGCGGGCCACGGGCAGGTTGCTTTTGCAGCTGGTGCATGGCTTTTAAAGCCTTTCTTCACCCCTGGCCAGGAAGAGTGGGGTGGAAAGGAAACTTTTAGCTGCTTGATGTGCGATTACCTAAAACTCACGTCCTCACCTGTTTGAAGGAGCACAGGACATTTCCAGGAGTGCTTTGAGCTGGCAGAGCTGTCACTGCCAGGCAGGAGCTGTGACAGGGTGACAGAGATCGGAAGCACATTGGCAGGGGGTGGGTTCACCCCCTGAGATGGATAGATGGACTGAAGCTTGTGCCATAAATGGCATGGAAGTGATTTTAATAAGGCCATTTTAGATGCATCAAAGCACAAGGTGTGAAAAAACCTTCCCGTTTTCAGCATGTGTGTAGATTGGTGACTTTACCAAAATATTTGCTGGTTCCTGGAAAGCGGAGATGGCACCAGGGATGGTGGCACTTGCAGCACGATGTTCTTGTAGAATATACACTGGTTTCCTCCTGCTTTGCTTTCCCCCACTAGTGTTAATTTGCAATAAGCCATGGGAAACACCTATTTAAATGTTTATTGCTGACTATTCCCCTAATTAATTCAACTGATGGGGGAACTTGAGTTTTGAAGTTGTCCCATTCTTAGTCTGTAAGGGAAATTTGGGGGCTGAGTGCTAGTTTCTAAAAAATGTGATTACAAAACCAACTTAGCTAATGGAACAAAACCAACTTAGCTAATGGGCATGCAGGGCTTTGTGGAGGTTGGGAGGTTAAACAGATGCAGAGCTCGGTAATTGCTACCAGCCTCCAGGCCTGGCAGATGAAAAGCTCTGAGCTTGTCTGTAGCCCCCCAGCATCACTCAGGTAGGACAACAGCAAAATTTAGCATTTGAGAAGAGTTTTGGAAAGGCACTGTGGGCATGTCAACTGTATGATGTCCCAGGGGAAACATGACTGGAAACTGGATGCTGTGGAAGATGTACCTGCAGGTGAAGCTCAATTGCTCAGTACCTCTTCTTTCTGCTGTCGTGACATTTTCATCATTTATGAACTACATCTTGTTTCACCTCTTAAAATACGGCATTATTTGCCATAGTGCATTTTTAAGAGCAAAATGTGCTGACAGTCTGCGTGGTGGTAGACCAAGGGATGTTATCAGAGAAGGTCAAAACGATTTTCGTCCATGCCAAGTTGTTTATTTCAGGGGTTTGTACAGATTTAGCTGAGGATGGTCTTGCTTCAGTAACGTTCAATTAGATAAGATTGTTTGGGTCAGATTTGTGTTAATGCCATAAACTTGGTTAACATCATTTTTGCAACTGCTGCAGAAATGCTGCAAAGAGGTTCTGAAACTTTTTATCGCCAATTTCATCAAAGTGTCTGTTCTTGGTGGAGATCTTAGTGCATCATGTTGGCACTAGGCAGCTGGGGGGGGTTCTAACCCAGAATTACATTTGAATCTTCTCTTCCTTCCCTAAAACTTCATGTTTGCGTGGCTGGTGCTTTGCAAGGCATCATGGGATACTTCAGGAAGAGTCAAGTCCAGTCATCAGTATTTAATGATGTGCTTGGGTACAACATATCCGTCATGCACTTGCCGATGATGTCGTTACCCTTTCGGAGCAAGTTGGGTTGTTCGTTTAACTCCTGGCGATCCAGATGCAGGGGGGTCATTTGAGATGGCCAAGGAAATACAGTTACTGGCCAAAGAGTAAGAATGGGGAAAAACCTTTGGTTTTGCTCATTTTTGTCATTAGCAGAGTGCAGCATTAGGATGAGCTTATTACAGAGTGACTCTTGGGTGGTTTCCACTGAGAATGGCTCAGAAGCACAGAGACACAAAGATCCATCGGTGCCACTGGGACGTGGTGGAGTGTCCCAGTCCGCCACAAGGGCTGTGGCTGGGGGACAGGACCTGGTCCTTGGGAGAAAGAAACCCAAGTTCGCCTCACCCGGCTCCAGGATGCTGCCATTGCTCTGACCAAAGGTCTTCACCCATTTCCCTGCTGTGCAGAGCCACTAACT